AAAATATACCTTCAGATCTAGCAGCTCTGACAGCCTTACCCACTTGTCAAATTGGGTTGAAACGGGAGACCCAAATGGTCTTGATATATCTAATGCTGTCTTAGATATAGGATGTCTAGAACATGGTATTGATCACTTGATTAATAACCTAATTAATGAAATTACTATGAAAAGGAATCTGTTAAAGGCTGCAGAAAAGAAGAGTGACAGAGGAACTGAGGCCACATCTGCTATGTGGGGTGACCAGTGACAGGAGAGGCCCCTGGTGCTGGAACCTTCTGCCTTGCAGGAGAGCAGGTGCCGAAGGGGAGAGGGCAGCCAGGAGCGAGGCAGCAGGGGCTGCCAGGGCTGCTGGGGCTGCAGGAGAACCGAGCAAAGAGGGTTGGATACCCAGACATCGAGCACCCCAGGGAGGGATGCTGAAACATTATGCAAAAGGGAACTCAATGTTGTGGCATCTCAAATGGCAGCTGTACGGCGAGGCCCAGCTACTGCCCAGGAAAAATACTGCAAGCTCTACCTTGAAATGTCAACGTTAAAGTGTCCAGGTAAAAAGCATAAATTTCCTGAAGGAAGGCAGAGGGATGTAGCAGTGAAAAGAGATTAATTCCTCCTCGTTTGCACTGCTGGTCAGAAGGATTTAAGTAGTAGGACTTCCGCTTCCACAAAATAGGAAAAAATTGTGAAGGAAGGACATACATGCTTTTTCTCAGCACATATTTTCCTCTAGGGAGTTCCAGATCTAGCAAGAGGGACCTTCAGTCTCTCCCTAGAGAGGGAGTCTGTGGGAGGGATCTATACCCGCAGTGTCAAGTGGAGGCCACTTTTCTGCTAGCTTGAGTAAGCCTCAGGGCCTGGTCCCACGTTCTCCTTGACCACAGACCTCCTGGGTGACCATGGCAGAGACCTGGAGGGGAGCAAAATAACACTGATTTCAGCCTGAGCCTCTCGGGACTCCTCAGGACCACTGCAGGTCACCCCTGTGTCCTGAGTGGCTCCTACCTGCCTAACAGATGGGATAAAGATGTCATGGTCAGTGTCTGAAACCGTAACCAAAGAGGCCGTAGTGACATTGGGTCTAGAGGTAAACTGATATGTTTGAAACTGTAACTAGGACACTCGGACTTATTTATTGCTCCATTTTCTTTTCCACCCAGGTCCTGATAGGTAGATGTGGGGAGTACCAGAAGGAAAGATCCTTTTAATTTGTTCCTTCTTTGCACTGCACATTTTTCTCTCACCTTTACTGTGTGGGATGTCAGAGTGTGTGTGTGCACATGTGTGTGAGGAATACAAATGGGGTCATTTCTTTATGCACTGGTGACAAATGCCAGCTACTTTCATCTGTTACCTTGAGGCAAAAGAAGGAATTCCATTGAAATTCACCTAGGGAACTAATTTTAATTTGTGTTTCTGTTTGTTCTCCACATTATCTTTTTAGTTTTGAAACTTGCGTAACCTTTCCTTGCCTGTACTTCTCCTGCTTACTCAGCCCTCTTTCTCATCCCTTGATCTACATGGAACTTCAACAGACTTTGCATCATGGCCACCTTAGGACAACATATAACCGTGAATGGGATTTTCTGGGAAAACCACAGCCATATGATGTAAACCTCGATCTGAAGTAGTCTTCCCTAAAACCAGAAAAGTTACTAATCTTCAATTTGGAGTGGATAATTCCTGGCACTAGGTTCTTTCTTCCAGGGACATATGTTCATGTGCGTGGCATTTCCCCATGGTAGCTACTTTCAGTTTTTATCCCTGGTGCTTGGGCAGCCCCATGCACAGACCGAGGCCTGACCCCTGCGCTTGTCATCTGATTTTGCGAAGTGTTGATCCAACCACAGCTTGGAGAAAGAGAGATCTTTTATCTTCAGGTAACCCAATTCCCAGAGATTTGCAGGGCTGAATGAGATCGTAACAAGCCTCTGATTGTGGAAGTAACCAGGGGATAAATTCTAAAAGTAGTAAGAGATTTATCTGAATAACAGGTCCTTCAGGCACAAAGCGCAATTACATCATGGATATGGGCCAGATACTTCTCCCAGGTACACAACACTTCCCTGTAAATCTAAAGAAATGCTTTGAAGCTGATTTCAAAAACACATGCTGAGTTATCAAAAAAAGGAGCAAAATTTTTCCAAGAGCTCAGGCTATTAAGTGATGATTGAGATATCAAAGGTGTGAAGCAGGTATGCAAATCTGGTCCCCAAGTCATCAACAGATTACATTTCTATTGTTTTTACACTCGCTCTCTCCTCTTCTAGACATCCCTGTATCCCTTGTGTTTAGTTATTTTCGTGGCTGCAGTTTACAGTTCTGTATCGGTCTGAATATCCCTATTGTAGCATGGTTTGAGCCTGCCACAAATCTTTACAAGCCACGTGACAGTCATCTAAACTGCACTGTTGCACATATTTCGGTAGTGTTACATTTCTTCTACTGTTTCCTTTGTTTCTTGTATTGAAAAGGAGAAGCAACAGAGAGAAGAAAGAGACTTGAAAATTTTGTTTAATGTTGCAGCATTCATTGTTTTGAATATTTTCATTCAGTAAACCATTAAGAGATTATCTGAGAACAAGGGAAAACAATTTTTCTAGTAATAAGATTGGGCCTGATCCAAATTCACTGGCGTTAAAGAAAAGGCTCTTAGTGAATTCCATGGACTTTGAATGAAGGATTAATCCCTCAGTCCTCAGCAAAAGAAACTCTTGCCAACTTTAGTAGAAATTTTCTGGAGTAAGGAACTTAGGCATTTGTATCTTGATGTCAATGAAATAACAATAACAATAATAAAATATAACAGATAAGTTAGCAGATCTCACTGATATCAGTAAATCACACATGCTTTTAACCTAAATATAGAAGTTAAAAAACTCTAAATGATTGTCTCAAGTGCAGTATAGCAGTAGCTCGCATAATATGTATAAAATCAACTGTATCATCTTAAATCTGAAGACCTCAGATTGTTTCTCCATAAACCACAAAAAGTAACTATAAACATGAAAAACAGATCATACCAGTGGATTAAGGGAGAACTGATGATACGCCTGTTCTGTGTTTAACATTTCCTTTCGAGAACTCTATGTATTTTCATTTGAAATGGTCTAAATCTTATTTTCTCCACCTGAGAAAGCAACCTGAACCTTGGAAGCTATGAATTTACTCCCCGGAGCTTTCCTCCTCCACTCTCCCTTCATCCTGCTTTCTGGGAGTTAATAGCTTACAATACAATAAACAGTATTGCCTACACGTATAGAACAGGGTAACATGATGCTGTGTGGTCTGGAAAGTCATTTAAACAAGATTATATTGTTCACAGGGTGCAGAATAGCCCCGCTAGAAAACGGCAAAGAAAACAAAATATAGCTGAATAAAATCAATTGAATTTTATAACCTCTTCCTAATATCAGCAGGTGTGAGCAAACTGCATCGGGCAGGAGAATTATGTTCAGAAGACGACATTTAGCACATTGCAAACAAACACCTAATAATCACCGAGGCTGTGTTTTCTTTGAGACCTTCCCACGGTCCACACTTGAGCTAGGATGGATTTTTAATTGGTGAAGGAGGGCGGGTTGTTGGTTGTTGGGTTTTGGTGGTGGTTTTGGGTTGGTTTTTGTTTTGTTTTGTTTTGGTTTTTTTTTCTGCTGGGGGCTCCACCCACCGCCTCGGTATTTATTGCTCTACAAATTGTAACTTCCTTCTCGTTAGAGTAACGGGCCGGTCGTAAATCAGCGCTGGGGGCCGGAGGAGAGAGGGGCAGGCGCGGAGGCGGCGGCAGCAGCAGAGGCGTCGGACCGCGTAGTAAAATCAGATCCTGAGTCACAGCAGCGTTAAAGCTGAATCGTTGCATAAATGTGTGTTTGTAAAATGTTATTAGAGGGTAAAGTTAGTATTTTTAAGTTGGGGGGGAGGGATTTCAAACTTTTGCGGTTTTTTTTTTTTTCCATGTTTACATTTATACAATAGTTAAATAGAGATATACATTGCCTCGTCATAAAGATCTTAAGCGTAGGTATCCGAATATATATATAGTCCTTCTCCGAGGGTAATGAGTTAAGAATACAAGTGCTTTGTGTGCTTACGGCGTGCACGCTGTAAGGATAAACACATCTGTCTCAAATAAATACTCACTTTTACCCAATGCCTAGCCAGGAGAAATGCTGTTTTTATGGCTTAACTGAAAGAAGGCTTAGAAATATTCTGTTAGCAAGATCAAGCACAAAGAGTAATAGACACCTAACATGTTCCATTTCAAAGTCGCACATTTCGAGCGAATTAATAGATCATTATCGGTTGTAATTCTAATTCAGTTACATATGGTCTAGAGCCTATTCTCCCTTCCACATTAAGTAACAGACTCAAACTGCTCTCTGGTTATTACTTTGGGGCTACAAGGAGCTTTGGGGCATAATTAAAAATATTTCCAGAAAGAATCGGTAGACCACATCTGACGTCCCACCCCCTGTTAGAATTAGACCACATCAAAGGGACCCGTTTTGTTTTCAAAAATGGTCACCAGACAACTTAAAATATACAAGAGTGGGCTTATGTTTTATTGTATAGATGTCTGACTAGAGCAAAACGACTTAAGGTTGCTTGCTATTCAGTGTTGCACCAAGTGAGACAAGGTAGCTACAGCCCTTTGATATTTCTGTGGAGGTCGTATTCATTTCATTTGAAAGGGAACCATTAATGATAGACCTATAAGTGTTCCCCTCCCTAATAAGTAGAATACACATCGCTTGGGGAGCCTGTCTGTGTCAGATGCCCAGGGCGGAAAGATTTGTAGATGATGGTGCTAATTATGAAAATGTGATCAAGATGGAAGCAATTTGAGCAAAAGTCATTAACGTGTTACTCTTCCACCCACTAGTCTTTTTGGTTTATTATTGCGGTGGGAGGCGGTGGGGGGGAGGGCAGGAGGAGGATCTTGCGGAATTGGGTTTTTTTCAGAGCGCTAATGGAAAATACCCTGCTAAATCCAAAATTGTAAAATGTCAGTTGCACATGTACAGGGCGATGCACTAGGCTCGGAACGACCTGAGATTTACTCGGAAGAGATTGCTATAATTACTGAAAGTAATTATGTTTTATCTCGCCTTCGCGCCGTGCTGGTGAAAGCATCTTCCAGGAGGCTCACGGCATGTTCAGGGAAATTTTTCTGCTACCGCATTTGTCTTGTAGCTCGTCAGAGGTTACGAGTCCGTAGGACAGGATTTGCGCTGCATCCCGAGAGGAAGGGGTTTCAGAGGGGTTCTGGGTTTAGAAGGGACTGAAGGATTTGGCGCGCAAGCGACGACACCCCCCCCCCTCCGCCCCGCAATACACTCCAAGATTGGAGTCCTGCATGTTTGTGTTTTCATGTTTTTGCGTGGATACAGTGCTTTAATTATTTTAATTTCCAGTCGTTTACTTTTACTAAACATACTGGAACTACATGACTGCCTGGAAGTGGCATTGCAGAAGAACAGCAATAAAGAATTAATTGTACAAACATTTATCATCCCCAGATCAAACCCTCCTTGTGAGGCTGAGGCTTAACTTGTGGAGAAGAAAAGGGGGAGGAAGGGGTGGTAATGGCGGAGAGGGGTGCTTGTGGGTTTTTTATGTGTTTCCTTTTATTCCAGACGACTATATAATGAAAAGCCTTTTAGCCTTGGATAACTACTAAATATTAAGCACAGCTTAAAATAGGGAGTAGCTTTCGAGATCGTTTCGTCCTCCTGCCATGCCTTTTAGGAAAAGGTCGTATCCCTTCCCTTATTTTCCCACTAGTAAAAGCTTCCTTTTTTTTTTTTTTTAAGTTCTGTTTAACATATAAGGAAATCCTCTTGCTCTACACAGGAATGTCTTTAAAAAAATATTTTATAGACCTCTTCTTGTTCACCGATTCTGGAAAAAATTTATATTGATCAAGGTCAAACGCTTGAATTCTGACGTGACTCACTTCAAAGGTGTATTTGTGTGCCCTTCGAGCACATTAATACTAATTATCTCTCAAACACTTCCCCAAAACTCCTACTGCCTGTTTCAGATGCAAATCTAATTAACAAGCTGCCTTTGAATAGCACACAGGGACAGCGTAATTCACTGAGTTGTTGAACCTTTTGCCTTCTTTTATATTTATTTATAGGTAGCTCCATCATATTTTGAAAGCGTAGGCAGTCGTGTGAAGCTATAGGGTAGCGAGTGCAGATCTGCTATAGCTAATGAGACTTTCCAGGCACCGGAGCTGAGAAAAAGGGTTAGATCCAACTTCTTGCAAATGCGTTCAGGGACGTATGTAATAACACTCGCTGGGCCATACTTTGTCTAAGTTAATTTAGAAATGACTAGATCTTGAAAGACCTATCTAAATAATGTGTATTACTTGTAACCGTGAACTGATTGATTTAGTAATAACTGTTTGTTTTCGACACCGGGGGAGGGGGGTAGGCTGCAGAAACCCCGACTCCTGAGTGAAAGCCATTAAAACGTGCTCGTCCCCTTCCCAGAAGCCGGGACCCGCACCCCCTTTCTTACGTTTCTGCGTTTAACATGCGCATTTTCAACAGCCACCTCCCGAAGATGTTCGCTTCGAGCATCAGCCCCCCCCGAGTCGTCCCCGTCCC